TACCGTAGCATAGTGGTAAGGGGGAGGGGCACATATCCGTAAACCCCTTAGATCAGGCGCTCCGGGCAGTTCATGCTCGGGTATCATATTGCGGTTGGAAAGTGGGTTCAAAGGCTACCGTGGATTTGAATTGGTTGGTCGATATTCACCTGCGGGAAGTATTGTCGGAACTGCTTGTATGTATGTATGTATGTATGAGTGGATGATATGTATGTTTAGCGCTGGGGAAAGCTTAATGTGCTGTTTCTACTAAACTTACTTGTTGCCTGCTGTACGGTACCCCTGGGAGCAAGCGAGGACGGGTTATGCCTTGCGCGTTACCGGGGATGAGAAGTGGGTCCTCTTTACGTTCGTTGGATGTTATTGTGAGGCGGAGTATCGTAGTTGTGGTGGAAGTCAGAGATGTAAGCCAAGTGCGAATTATTATTAGGAGGTTCCAACCAGGCTACCGTACTTGGACCGTACAGTGCATACTCAGCACTAGTGCTGTGTGCTATTTGTATCATGGATGAGTCTAAGAGTGCGAGTGAGAGTACAAAAGCGAGACAACTGCATTACCGAGTTTCTAGGTCGTTCGCTAAAGTTAACCGCCAGCACTGCAGCTAATTACTGTGAAAAGCTCCTCGGAACAACAACTCTGCATCCACGTTGGACCCACGGTACTGTACAGCACAGCAACCATGGCCCTTACAGTACAGTACAGGTATCCTTCACCCCTATTACTCCCATCGTGATCACGAGCATGATATTTCCCCTATTCTTCTTCCTCCTCCTCCTCCTCCTCCTACCAATCATCCTCCCGTGACAAAACCTGCACCTGCCTGCACTCCGATGCAACCCCCCCTCACTCGACTCGCTTCCCAGGTCCATTCCGTCATACTAGTCCTATAACCAATTCCCCGCCACCACCCAAGAAGGCCTTCTCTGGAATAATAATAATAACTTGACTACCGTACTACCGCCGAAAAGCCTTTTGCGAGTAGGAGGAGAGAGAGGGGGGGGGGGGAAGACTCACTGCGGGCATATTCAATCCATTTCAGATCCGAACGGAGCGGAGCGGAAGGAGCGAGGGAGGAAGAATTGAGGATTTCGGTTGTGAGTTTTTAAGTTATCGTTGTCGCAACTATGATATACCGAATATATATGATACTACCGGTAACATCGAGAATGGATATCATAAACTCGATTGCTGGCTGGCTGGACTTATCGGCAAATGAATATTTTCATCTTTACTCTACTTACCGAGCTTGTATGTACAGTACTGTACTGCTGGTACGAGTACTGTATGTATGTATCATATCATATCAAGCTGCACCCGCCTTCCCACGAGATATTTACCGAAAATCTACTTTTTTTTTTCTGAACGCCACGATTCGATCAGATACGTATTAGCCGCAACGGGCGAGTTGTGTTGAATACCGGTAATTTAGTTCGAGTGCTGTACAGTACCGTACTGTACGGTACTGTACGTAGGAAGCGCGCGCTCATTTCATTCTCGCCCTGCGTGAAGCAAGAAAGCAAGAAAGTTAGAGCAAGCAAGGGCATCGCCTACCACCCGGTCCCAAAACGTGTTGCCTTCTGGTCGGATTTCATAGTTAACCGACCATTGCATCATCGCCAACCCGGCCGTGTGATGCCTCCTGTTCCCTTGAAAACGCCAGGATTTTTCCCCACCCGCAGACTTCGCCCTTCCCCCAAGAAAAGGAAGAAAAGAGGGGGGATCAGGGGATAACCGGTACCGGTGAAAAACGTAAAAAGATATCTGGTCGCCACGGGCTAATTATTACGTAGGATTATATATATAGTTCTACTGCCCTGATTGATTGGTCTTACGGGTACTGTACTGTACTGTACAGAAGTCTGCGGTACAGTACAGGCACTGTATTCGCGCATGCATGGCATGGCAGGAAAGTTCAGCAGCGACAGGGCAGGTACAGCCGCATTTCCTACAATTCCCATACCCTTCCTTCCCTGTGCTGTACTGTACAGCAGTCTAGCCCAAGGACAATATTTGAGTACCCATCAACAAAAACAGAACAAGGCGGTTCTTACGTGACAATTTCTGGATATATATATATATATCTCTCTGGGGACATTATAAGCATCTGCCGGTACTCGTACGAGTACAGTTACTGTATCACATTGGATTCTTGCTGAATAATAGAAAGGTACTCGAGTATCTGGAGGGGAATGACAACTCTGCAGATGCCGCTGTACTTTACTCGTACGAGCACTTAGCACGAGTAGAATGAAGCGTACACTACAGTAAGAGGGTCCCTGGAGGCTTTTTTCTTCTCCATGGCGTATGCAAGAATAGCTTACCGCACCCGTAGAAACGGTAACGGGCGGATGGGTGTGTGCGAGTCTGGATGGATGGCGAACCGGATCATTGTCACTCACCACCACCACCACCACTACACCATCACCGCCAGTCAAACCGTGAAAGGTGAGTCAGTAGCTGACGGCGAGGAAAAAAACTTGATAGTATTACATGAATGGAGGGCTCTGATGACACTGTTGAGTGGAAAATAATTTCGCCCGTCTGTGTTGCGGCCTTTTCGTTCCTGCTTGGCTTCCTTCGATTGATTGAATGAGGGAGGCTATTTCGCCTTCGTTGCCGAGTTCGGCAATAGACCGACGATGAGTAGGTAATGAAGGAATACCGGTATCGCGAAGGAAGGGCAGACAGTATTATCTCTCGGACGGGAGATAATACAACATTCCCCCCCCACCTTCGTCGTTCGTCATAAGGAACATTTCATCCATCCATTCCCTCACTCCCCCATCGCACAAACAAAGTAGCACTTCCACTCACCCTACCGGTACTGTACTGTACTGTACTTGTATGACAGCATTCCGGAAATTCCATGCGGACCTTCGAACAGTACTGTAGAGCTCTCGTACAGCACGGTATGATGCAGTGGGAAGAAAGAGAGAGAACGAAGGAGAACCCAACCTTTCATTCATTCATGCAAGCTTTAATACCTCCTTATAATATATACGGTATACCAGTATGATACTTGTATTGGCGTGGCAGCAGTACTGTACTCGAGTAGTCTAGTCTAAGTTACTCGAGTACTCGTACAGCAATCAACTGCTCGTGTCCCCGAGCCAAGAATTGGCACCCGTTCGCCCATTCCTCGGGGTCTGTAATACGGTGGCCACCCCAAAAAGGCTGCCAATTCTTGGTGCGGGGACACGAGTTCGTCGTAGAGCGGCTGACACCACCCCACACCTCCGGGGAATTTTGCACCCCGCCTGTGGACTTTTCGCTTACATGATACCGGTATGATACCTTATCATAGCGTGTCGCGCTGAACCCAGCTTTGAATTAGTCTACCAGCACCCCACCATCCCACCCCGCACCCCCCCACACTCACTAGGGCCACCACCGCCACCTTAGCCTCGGGACCTATGGTAGCCTCTTGAAAGTCTGTGACGAGATCCTGGGTTCCGAGGCTAGGGTAGACTAACCCCACCACTACCTACTACTGCCTGTTGCCACGGGCGGGCAACGCTTTTTCAGCTCAACGACTCCAAGAGTCCCCCAGACCATGGCACTGGGGGAAGTTATTTTGCCTGGATCGCCCGTCTACCGGTGCGAGTGAGTTGAGTGAGTAAGGGCGAGGCTCACACGGAGGTCTAAAGCGGGGCGGTGGTGGTGGTGGTGGTTGGGAATGGTCAGGTGGATGGGGGAATGAAACGGACGGATGGATGGACGGTTCCGGGTTGAAATGAATAAGTACCGGTACTGTACTCGAGTAGAGTGGGGGGGGGAGGGGGGGTTGCTTACTTTGCGGGTTTTTGATGATGATATTACCATACACAGCTGAACCGAGGGAATAAGGGACCTTTTGCGATCAAGCATCCAGAGTCAAATCCTAATGATCTGGTTGGCCCAGAACCGGATTTGCCTCACATCCAGAGTCTTTTCCGGAAAGTCACCAATACGGCAACCAAAAGGTCCACCACCCATCCATTATTCATTCATTTTTCATATGCGGTGTTTTGGATCAGCCGGACGGAAATACTCTACAGGCTCAGCGTGATAGATACCGTACTCGAGTATGATAGAGTGAGATACAATGCGATAGAGTGAAAAACAGGAAATGAGAGAGAGACCATGTGGGCCGGTCGGACTGGATTGCCGTTGCGTTCTCTATCAGCTGTGCTGGACTGGCTGGCGGCTGTGCTGTACTGTACTGTACTATACAGCGCTGAAGTGGTGATAAGTCGCAATCCAATCTATCCGAGTATCATGCTCCCAACCGGCAATGTAGCGTATCATACCGGTACTCTACAGTACTGTACGGGTACATGGGCTCTCCTTTCAACCCTTTCTACGATAGCGCCCAGCGTATGATAATTCGCGAAGCAGCCTATGGTGTCTGGGAAGGAGCGCACCGTGGACCCTGAAGATTTGCTCCAGTAGGGACATGTTTTTCCATCCAAAAGGAGAAACTCGGAACCAGCAGAAAAATTTGGTAAGCGGTATGAAATACTTGTAACCCCATAGTCTAATGCGATCTACGGTAGTGGAGTCGAGTGAGAAAAACCCCTCCGTGGAAATGAGACACAGATTGCACGCCCAAGGCAAAAAAAACTCGATACCGGTATGTAAAGAATATGTGTGCTTGTATTGGAGAGGATAGGTAGCTGAGGTGTGATACAGTGGGATATTCTAGCCTATTGGATCCAATTCGGAGCCCAGTCCGGGGAACGACAAAAAAAAGCCTTTGTGTGATTTTGTTCTGCTCTCTAAACCTGCATTCTAATTCCATTCACACCCGACCCTCCGCCCACCCCATCCATCCACCTACCGGTATCCATTCATTCCGCATCCACTTCCCATCCCCCTCTCTTGGTCTACGAGTAGTGGCGCGCCTCCTCCACCACCACCGCCGCCTCCACCTGCCTGCTGATTCTTGATTCCCACTTACTTCCTTCTCCGCCCGCCTGCTCAGCTTGCCATGACTCACGCAATATATATCACCCCTCACCTCTCCTTCATCCCACTTCCTCTCCTCCTCCTACCACTACTAGCACAATTACTACATCACTTCCACCACGCCACCCCAAACCCCACAAATGCCTATCAACCCATACACCATTCACATCCCAACAAAGTTACAGCCAAAATGTACCTGTCCACCGTTATGACCGCTCAAATCCCTGACGTGAAGCCCACACTGTTCGGCCTGTCGTCTCCTAGATCCCCAACGAACGGGTATACCTGTGCGTTCCCATCATGGCCGAGTAGGCCGTGCCTCGACCGGCGTATGCCGTGGGAAGACGACGACGACGACGAAGAAGAAGTATCGCATGAGTGCGCTGGGAGGAAGGATGGAAGATGCACTTGTCCTACTGCTGTCGCCACCGCAGCGCCATCATCGTCGGCGGCAGAAAGATGGGATGGAAGATCAGTTTCCAGCACTTGTGCTTCTTCAACCTCATCCACCTCAGCACACGCAACGGGGGGGAAGGTAGAAACGCTAATCACCGGCTTCGAAAAATTACCCCTCCAACCCCGCTCTCCTAGGGCCCCCTCCAGACCAACGAAGTCGTTGTTGTCGTTGGCGATTCTACGAAAGGCGGGGGGGGATATGTGATGGAGCCGCATGGCATCATCCCTCATCATACCTTACCTATCACTTTTTTCCTTTTTTACCCCCATTTTCTTTTCCTATCCTTTTTCGTCCTGCCCTTTTCCGGGATTGAGGGGGAGGGGGGAAATGGTGTAATACCGGTAGAGTGGGGGGTGTCTTGGTATTTATGGAGGGATGTCGGAGAGGTTTCTCCGATTCCCGAGTGAGGGGAACTTACCATATACCTAATAATACCGGCTGTAATGTTACCGCACGAGTACAGTACCTTGTGAGTGATATTCCATTTCCTTTTTTTTTTTTTTTTTTTTTTTTCCCTCTCCCTCTCTCCCTCTCTTCCCATCCCCCCCTCAGTTTCACCGAAATGGATTGCGGGGATTCCTCTTTGTATGGCCATTGGTTCGGGGGCCTCCTGCCTTTTCCGAGTTGCCAGAACAACTTTTGCTGATGCGATTGCCGTGAAGTATCAGCTTAACCGAATGAGTCCCCAGTTGGGTTTGATCAAGTGATGGATGATATCCCCGTTTCCATTCCATTCGAATACTCTCCTTCATCACCACACTCCGCGACCGATAGGGCACCTACCGGTACGCTGCGTCGCGCTTCACCACAACGTTACCGCAACCCCATGAGACGAACCCCTCCTTTAGGCAACACCTTATCCGTGCAACCACCCCACAACCAACACCCAACCGCTGCGCCAAGAAATGTGCCTTGTCGTCTCTTCACCGCATCTCCCTCCCTCATCCACCCATTCATATCCCGTTCTAGCTATTCGTGGCAAGCGCAGGGTCTAGCCTACCTCTGCATGTTGCCTCAATCACTTGACTTGCGAAAGTCTTGTCACCCTTGGTCTCGCAATATCAATATCCAGTTTTAGGTACAAATACAAGTACCAACCCGTGGATCCGAAATTGCACGGATACTTTCGTGGGGTGTATTACTCGAGTATGGGGCCATCTGACTGGGAGGAAAGGGTTTGGTGGCTAGGGTTATATGTGATGTGATGTGATGTGATGCGATAGATGGATACTTGTAGATACCGTGCCGTATTAGAGGCCGGCCGGGCTGAGGCAGGAAGGAAGGAAGGAAGGAAGGAAGGTACAAGTACATGCAAAGTGTGATGCGTGAAACGAAGCGAGGGCGCACGGATGGGGTGGTGGGGACGTGCTCTGCATGATTATTATTTTTCCTTTTGATTCGACTTGTACCGGTATTGCTGGGGGGAAGATAGCGTGGATTGGATTTTGCACAAGTATGATACTCGTAGCGAGATATCATGCGGCAACTTACCATAGATGCATGTTCTAATTTACCGTTCTGTATCATACTACTCAAGTAGTAGACCTGTACGTGTACAGTACATGTACTTAATTTATGGGTTAACTCGTCTTAGGAATTGATGGTAAAGATGAAGATGAAGAAGGAAATTTTTTTGCTTTAGCGTTGCCTGTGATTTCTACTGGGGTACTTGTATGTACAGTACTGTACTCGAGTATGTGTGTGCTTGCTTGCTTGCTTGCTTGCGATGGAGTTTGGCATCATACATTCCTGCCTTATGGGGAGGCTGGGTAGCTACTCCCGAAATACCGCGCTACCTAATCCACGAAAAGGAGGAGTCTGAGGTACCGTATTTATACCTACCGTACTCGAGTAACTGTGCTTTCTTACCATACCATAACCGTACTCCATCGTGAGCCTATCATAACTTAATCCAGAGCGAGGAAAAAAGTTCTAAAGGAAGTCTCTGTAACCCCCTCCTCCCTCCCCATCTTCAACTTCCCCCTTATCCCTCCCTCATTCCCCCACCTATCGGCACCTCAACCCGGAAAGATTCCTTAATCTCCATATCAGTCTGATGGAATCTAGTATGATACAAGTACCTGTACGAGTACTTCAGTATAAGAAGGAAAAAAACCAATTCCCGACCGACAATGATTTAGGCCAACAACCAGTAAGCGGGTATCACAATACAGTACTCGTACTATGATATTATTATAATGGGTTTACAAAATAACTGCGCGGCAGCGAGCGAGGTTCAACGGTGCAGTGCCCGACGCAACACATACCTGGTTTGTGAAAGACAAGGCAAAAGAACCAACAGGAACTAACAAACAACAGAGCCATTGTGGAAGCGTAAAGGATAAAAAATAAAAAATAATAATAAAAAAGTAATTATGATAGGAAGCCACAAGTTATACCGCGTATCGGCCAGCCAAAGGACGCGCGGGTGGGCCGGATGGCAAGGAGGAAAGGAGGAGAAACGAGGAGAGAAGGGGCGAATGATCTGTTGTACTCGAGTACGTGTGAATGGACAGAGGGAGGGATGGAGGGGATGGAGGGGATGGAGGGGATGGAGGGGATGGAGGGATAATGGAGGGATGATGGAGGGGGGTGAGCGGGAGGGCGTGTTTCAAGAGAAAAAAAGTAATATGCACGGATCGAGGGGGAAAAAGTAAGACTGTTCGCAGTGAGAGTCTGTGATTCTGGGGCTTGGAGGGAGGGATTGCTTTTTTCTTCAGATTTGAGGGCGAAGTGGATGAGTGGCTACGAGCTATTATACTCGAGTAAGGCTTGCACTACCGGTATTGGTGGGGCGGATGGAGAGGAATGGAGAGATACTGTAGCTACCATATTCGTGTATCAGAGGTGGAGCTCTCTCTTTTTCTCTCTCTCCCGTCGAGTCACGGGCGGGTTTCCTGAGTTGTAAACTTTATGGAAGAGAAGGGCCACACGGTATGTATCATGCTGTGCGACTGCCACTCCCTGGCTCCAACCCCAGCAATATACGGTACTTGTACTCGTACTTCTTCTTATTCGGCAGTAAAAAAAAGAAGCAAAATACCGTGTCGTATTTTACGATACTCGAGTAGAGTTCTTTCTTTTCTCTCTTTCCCTCTTTCTCTTGACCGCAGAGGAGGAGCGAAGTCCGTTCCGAAAAAAAGAAGTCGAGCCCAATCGCAAGCTCGAACACCGCCCCACACGACACGGAACTTTTACACACGAACTCATCTGAGCTCTTGGATTATGGCAGGCCATCTTATCGCGAGCGATCAAACATTCGGCATCCCTGCGGCGTCCGTGTGCGAGGAGCAAGACAATTCGCCCCGCATCACGTTAATTGCGAATTTGAGATGGCGCTTTCGCAGAGACACTCGATATGTTCGAGTGGCTCATTGTATCATGCTTTTTTTTCCCCTTCTGAGCTTTTTTGTTACAAGCCTCGTTGCTCTCGCACGAGCACTCTGGTCAGCTACTGCCCAAAACAGCAATGAGAGAAGGAGCTACTCACACAAAAGAAGAAGAAAAAAAACATTCATAATATGATACCTGTTACGGGTCCGAGCCCAGTCTGTTGAGGTTTCTCAATGACTAGATTATTAACCTTCGCTAATCTTTGTGAATCTTTCAATCATATCATACCATGCCTTGTTTGCGTTTAAATTGCCTGCCGGAGGTACCGTATTTGTAGATTCGGCAACCCTGCACTTTTGCGATTCGCTTTTGAAGCGACCTGTCGATGTAAAAAGATGACATATGGACATAACACAAAAGTCTGTTAACAGGATTCGTCTCCTGCGGGATCCCCCGTACGAGTACTCGTACAATGATGGCTATGATGGTCTTGTCGGCACAGTAAGGACTAACCCAAATACGAGAGCAGATCGAGATGTAAAAAAGTTGCGGTGAAAGCGGTCCAGTGCTGGGACTTAATTTACAGATACTTGGGCAATGCCAAACAAAAGAGCCGGGCTGGTAGTTCCGGCATTGAGACAAGATTTTGCCAAGATTTCATTCATCTCGATCTCACTTCACTTCTCGAAAGTAAACAAGAGAGATTTAACCTGGACATCAGCATTCGCACAGCTTATTCTCTTCCGGTGGACTACAGGTATCTCTGAGTTGGTTAGTGGTCTTTTTCTGTTATATTATTATACTGGTCAACGTAGCTGAAGCAAGGAAGGGAAGGTCGATAAGCCAAGATAACGAAATCGATAGCTCGCTTGGCAGTTAGATGCGAAGTGCGGTGGACTATCTGCTTTCGTTTCCGCTGATACTGTAATTTATCATGGGGGTGGAGGTTGGGATAGGGGGGAAGGGGGAGAGAAAGGGTCCCAGGGTTTCGTCCATACAATTTTGTTTGTTTGGTTGTTAGTCTTGTGCAGGGACAAATGCTGAGAGCGGGGGTTTCAAGAGGGTTTTTCTGCTGTCCGGAAAATAATGTGGTTGGGGGTTGATCAATTGGAGGGTGGGCTGGGAGGTCTCGGAGGGGGGGGGATGTTAGATGGGGGAAGGAAGTGATGAAGGAAGGAAGGATGAATGGATGTCTGGGTGGGATTACCGTTCCTCATCGTCCCCTTCTATTTGTTGTGGGTGCAGTCTTCCCTTTTCGATGAATCTTGGTATCATACAGAATTGATACTGGTGGGATCAAGTGACTTCAAAGGCACCCGCAACCGAGTTCCGCGCCGCCCATCTGCCATTCGAAAAAAAACAAAAAAAACAGCCCAACTACTATGCCATGCCTTTACGATGATAAAAAGTCCTAAAAATATTAAGTTCTTAAATCGGTCGCACGGTTTCTGGGGTTTGGCGGAGGAGTGAGTGTCGTGGTTTTTGATGCCGCGCTGCGCGAGAAGGAATTGTGGAAGGGGTTTCCCTAGCATCATATTATACCCAGCTGGGGAAACGAGGAGTACTCGTTTGGAGAGTTCTCTGTAAACAGAAATTCGGGGGAGTACAAAAAGATTGGGGGAAAAAAACAAACAGAATCATGGCGGTGAAACATTTCCAAGACATACAGCGTACACGAGCATACGATACTCACAGACTATGTGGGTGAAATACGGTACCGGCACGATAAAAATTCAGATTGAGGAACCCGCCGGGCTCACGAGCGTGGCTTCAGAAGCAGGTACTGTCGAATTCTATAACTGCGCTGTAACTTCGCGAATGCCAGGCCGACCGTGGACGAAGTAATGGTGGAGTATCTATGGTATCGACCTTGGGCTGGAATATCCTATCTACGGCAGGCTGCTCAGAGTTACACTGTCATTTCGTCCGCTGGCGACTACTGGAATGTTATGGTTGGAAGCCAGGCAAGCAGGCAAGCAGGCGAGAAGCAGGGAGCA